TGCTGGTTATAGTACTAATAATGATATATGAATGGTATTGATAATAACCACAGTCGTAGTTATAGTAGAAAAAATGGGTGAAAGAGGCGGTTTTAGTAGTGGTAATGGTAGTAGCAGAAGTAAGAGTACAGGTAATAATGCTAGTAGCCGTAGTGTTACTGTAGCAGTAGTCACTGTTGTCATCTTAGCATTCATAATTGTATGGCAATAACAACAGAAAACGGGTCAGTTGTAGTACTGGTAATGGTGAAAGTAGTAGTAGGTGGAGTACTTGCAGTATTACTAGTAGTAGAGTGAGAAGGAGGATGGAGACTAGGACTAGGAATGGTAGGACGAGAAGGGCTATAGGAGGAGGCAGAGGTGGGAGGAGCAGGAGGAGGAATGGTAGGAGAATATGGGCTAGGACTGGGAGGAGGACGACCAGCAGTAGTAGGAAGAGGAGGAGGAAGACTATGACCAGACATAGGAGGACCAGGTGTAGCACCAGCAGGAGTTGTGGTAGGAGTAGTAGTTGTAGTAGTAGTGGTGGTAGGGTTAGTGTCAGGGTGTGGGAAAAACTGGTAGTAGGGGATGGACCCAAATGCAGAGAGACACTGGAGCAGAAGGATATTTTATGGTGATTTAATGAGCAAACAAAAAATTAAGGAAGTCCAAATACACAAGGCAAACCACCCGCCGTAACAGGCAGCATGCTGTCTGACACTCCCACCACGGAAGAACAACATTGTACTCTGGTGAGCCACGTTTGTTCAGGGAGAGGCACGCTGCGCTAAACTAGATTAGCAGGAAAACCAACAGCAGCACACATGCTACAAACTCTCCCTGCAGCGTTTAGGTAGCTACTCCCTATCGATTCGAACAGGGCTATAGCAATCGCCACGCAATTGTTATATTTATAGCCACGGGTATGAGACCCTACTTTGGAGTGGAAAACGCAGGCTGTATGAAGGTTTGGAAAGTCGCCAGATTTAGCGAGAAAGTCGCCAACACTGGTCTCACCAGCGAGGATTTGGCATTTCTAGTTATTTGCTGTATTGAAAACCTACTGAAACGTACCGAACCGTGGCACCACTGTATTGTATTGAACCGAACCAAGAATTTTGTGAACCATTATATATATATACTGTATATACTGTATATATATATATATAGGGATATTTGTGTACATGTACTGTATTTGTGTATTTTTGTGTAGATTTAAATATATCCCATATTATTACCTAACCTCAATCGACACACCATACTCACCCATCAAATGGATCACACATAAATGGACACAAACTGTCACAGCTCTGCCACCATTATCCTGTTTTTTTCCATCTCTCACTCACCTAATCCGTTTATTCAGTGCACCTGCCAGTCACACCCACCTCGTCGGCTCATTACTCTTACCTGCTCACTCTGCTGCATCACTATTTAAACCCCAGTCACACTGCCAGATCATTTTCATGTCTACCCGCCCGTTTGGCTCGTCCTGTTCCCGGGTTTCCCCGTCTGCCTGCCTCGCCCTGCCTTGCCCTGCCCTGCCCCGCCTCGTCCTGCTAGATTTCCCTCCTCGTCTCTTGTCTCGTCCGTGGATTCCCTGTTATGTTCCTGTAAGTTTTCTGTTCTGTTTTCACATTTTCATTAAATACCTGCTTCACTCTACTTCTGGTCTGGTCTGCAATTGAGTCCTCCGCCACACCCCGTGACACAAACGCACATACACACACATACACTTATATACATTTTGCTGGACCTCCACCTCTCACTGTTATACTCCTCAGTCTAAACCTATGTTATTTTCCTCTGTGTCCTTATGTTCCCTTTGTTCTTGTCCCTGTCTGACTTTGTATAATTTTTTGGCTCGTATATGTGTTTATGTAATTGTCTGAAGTTGTTTTGTACTCCCTTTTCTACACAATAAAAAAAGATACAGCCATAAAAATAAATAATGGGATCAGTAGTGGGAGGTAGTACAATAAATAGAATAAGTAGTAGTTGTAATACTAGGAGGCTGTTGTGGACCTGCAATTATGAGAATAAAGCATGATCATGATTGTTTTATACTTTAATGTTGAATATCACAAAGATGTTGCATGTGAGTCTGTTAAGGGCCTCTCATGGGCACTTGTATTATTGATCTGTACTTCACCAAAACCCCACCCCCACAACACACACACATGTACACTTTCGCCATCTCCTTCCTGGCTCCCTCCTCCTTCCTCTCTCCCTTCCTCTGTTCTTCCAGTGGCAGACTAAGCTGTAGAAATCAATAGGGAAAATGCCCTGAAACAGCCGATCTAGAAGCCATCTGGCCCTTGCTGTCCTCAGAGACCGGCAGCAATCCCCCCCCCCCCCCCCCCCGGGGGACGAGACACACGAAGAAGAAGCTCAGAGAGAGAGAGAAGAAGCTCGAGCAGACAACAACACAAAGCAAGTGTTAACTCACTAGCACGCAAATTGTCAGTGTGGGCGACACATCATGCGGCTGTTACATAAGAGACGGAAAGGTGTAAGCGTAGATGGATTAATAGCACATATTTTACATGTAGTTCATTTTGACCTTATAACACCACCTCTATCAGTAGAAGCTATTTTTTTCAACGTGCCAGAAAGCATCGCTCTCCGGGTCATACCATTCCAGTGATGAATTTTGACCTTTTAATTATTGCATCCTCATTAATCCAATTAATGTAATTTGTAAGAGTAGCTTGGTTCGTGTCAGTCACACTAACAGTGTCCAGGGTGGAGGCAGGTTTCAGGAAAAACAAATTCTTTTTTTTTTAACTGTAAAAGGAACAGATGAAGTATGCAAGGAAATTTGAAGAAAAGAGGGCAAAAAAGCAACAGGGACTGGAAAGAATATGAAAGTGAACAGTACAGGGATGATAGAATCACAGAGGCATGAGGGAATTAATGTGTGCAGAGAAATACAGTTATCGAGTAAGAATGTACTGGTTCTAAACCCATTATCTAAACCAACAGTAATTTACAGCATCAACATACAGCTATCAGAATCTAAAATCGTATACTGAGGTATAGAAATCCCCAAAACACCAAACCAAATGCCCCAAAACTAGAAAACTGGAGTGAGATCAACTTTTTTATGATATAATTAATTTCATTTCAAGACACTTCATTCTTCTTTTGTAAAGAAGTAAAACTTACACTAGCAGAGGAGTAAAATATTTTGTATCAGTAATCATCAATTTTTTTACAAAATCACTTAAGATGAGGATGTTTAAGTCAAAATTATGTCAGATGAATCCCATTTTAAACACTTAATTATGTGTCTTCGCCCCGAGTTGTTTGACATAATGGCAAGTTTGATACGTGAATTTTCTTTTACTTTGGTGCTCGTGAAACCAATAATTACATTTGATACAACCGAATAAAGCTCAGCACGTGCTAAACATAATACTAAATTCAAATTTCACCTGGAGATTTGGGCAAGTTGTTGTCTATTAGCTAAAGCATGATATTTTGGTTAGCCCCCGCATCTCTGCTGTGAACCGTGAACCTTTCTGACCGTCTTTTGCTGCCATTTCCGCATCACCTAACTTTATCTTGAATAGGTAAACCAGACATTTGAAGAGATATACTTTTGATAAATCACAACATATTAACTTATTGTAAACCTATACATATAGTGAATACTTTATTAATGAGAATAAATGAATGCATTTAGGGAGAGTTTACAGATTATCTCATAACAAACTGAATACGCTAGTCTCTCATATTTTATCCAACGTTATAAGTAGGCTACAATTATCAGAACATTACGAACAATCAGGCTCCCTCATGTGGCTCAAAAGTGTACTGCAGATATAAATGTCGGATAAAAAACCATGGAAGAAATTCTGCTAATTTATTTCCAACGACTGCTGTAAGTCACATGAGTGTCGTCATAAAGCTGGAGGTGGCTATGATGTCAGCAGTGGATCATCATAAAACACAGTGCTGACACTTTTTTTTAACTGAAAGTTGTGTACGTATCTGAAAATAAAATAATTTGGGAAGGCATCACCCAAATGTTAAACGTTTGGAACAATGATGGCTCCTGACTGACACGTTTTTTCTTATTTACTACGTTATTACATTGAGTACGTATCCTGTTTCTTTCGCCAGTTTGCACATCTTGTGTCATTTCTTGCATCAATAGCACAGGTACAAAGTAACTGAGTACATCTACTTATGTGTACTCAAGTAGAACTTTGGATTGCTTTTACTCGCAGTGTGGCACAAGTAAAGAAAATCTGAACTCTTCCTCCACCACTGACCATTAGCACGTGGCATGTGTGTCAGTTCATACAGTGATGCTTGGCAACAGTGATAGGCCTTTATATTGATAGCGTGGCATCAAAAGCATGCCATTGGTCCTCCAGATAAGAGGAGGTGAGAGGATGGCGTTGAGCTCTTCCATCCACCGCGTCCCTGCTCTCCTGTGCGGGACATCACCAGCATGGAAACCACTTGGAGGAGTCTCTGTGTTGCAGCCATCACAACTCAGAAAAAAATAATCAAAACTTCTCATCTCCAACATCACTGCTGATGCTCAGCTGCTGCTTTTTTTCTGCACGTTCACACACATGTTTAAGTCTTTTTTGGCCGCCGTTTCCTCGCAGCAGCGGCAGCTTCAGGAGCTCGCGGTTTCTCTCCTCTCTGCCCGTGCTGCCTGTAATGACTGGGAGAGGAATGCTGTATGGTTTTATATAGGCCTCTAAAAATAACTCACCCCCATCACCGCCATCTAGGTCCGGACTGACAGGCTCCCGCAGCCAATAGCGCTCCCCGCCTCCCATACAGCCACGCCCTCTCCCTCAGTCTCAGCACCTCCTTAATTGGACGCCAGTGACATCATCAACCCTATTTACCTTATTAGGTCACGCATGAAATTGACTGACAGGTGGCTCCTCCCCCTCCCCTGCCTCCCTGCCTCCCTCCCGCTCCTCCCTTCTCTCTCACTCACTCACTCTCTTGCTCTCTCTCTCTCGCGCGCGCCGGTCGCCTGGATTGCAGCGCGGTCCAGTCTGCTGCTGGTGGAAGCAAACCTGGCAACCTGGCAGCTCGCACGGAGACCGACTGGCAATCTGGCAATGCGGAAATAGATCTGCCACCCTCCCCCCCACCCCCCCTCCGAGCGCGGACCGAGGAGAGAGGCGTGACGGAGCGAGCAGAGAGGAGAGGGGATAGCGTTGAAAAAAGATAAAATAATCAACTACTTTCTTTCCTGCGAGCTTTTTTTTTTTTTTTTTTTTATAAATAAAAGTGCTCAGGTGCGCTCATCTGCACCAGCTTGGATTTGTTGTCTCCCAGCATTTGTTTTTTTTCTTTTCAACCTGACAAGTCTGAGAAGAAGGAGGACAGAAGAAGTGCGTTTTTAATCGTTTGGATTCCGGACTTCTGTACCGACTTTTTCCTGTTTGTTTTTTTTGCTTTGTTTTTTTTTGCATCAAGCATGGATGTGTTGGCGAATTACAGTATTTTCCAGGAACTCCAACTCGTTCATGACACTGGTTATTTCTCCGCGATGCCTTCCCTGGAGGAGAACTGGCAGCAGGTCAGAGATGATGCGTTTTTCTCTTATTTTTCCGGGAAATTGGAGGGGTTAGAAACCGGGATAAAATACTATGTGTGCGCTGGTTGGTGTTTGTGTGTGCGTGCGTGTGTGTGTGTGTGTGTTTGTATAGTGTTTTGCATCACCAGAGCGCTCCGGAGCGGCGGCAGCAGCAGCCCCGTGTAGTTGCGTTTTTTTTTCTATCACATGGAACACGGCGAGGTCCGCTGACAGGAGAAAACACACATACACACACAGTGAGAGCGAGTAGGTGAGGAGGAGGAGGAGGGAAATGATACAGACAGAGCTTTACGCACTAATGCCACTAATGGAAAAAACGGCATTTTGTTTTTAAAAAATGCGTAAAAACGTTCGAACCATCTTAACATTTACGCACACGCCCCCCTACTACAAACGAACGGTACCTTGACCACACTTAAAGGTTAACCAAACCATTTCATCAATAATGTAAAAGCAGGAAGGTGACGCTGTTGTCCCGTGAAATCCCCAATGATGATATTCAGATGTGGATTAAACCCTAAAAAAGGCGTTTTAACGTTGCTTGGGGAAAAACAAACTCTAAAACGCAGGTAGCCGCAAATACCGATTTTCCTCTAGTTTTGCCCTAAAGGAGGATGTTGGTACCTACTATTTCAAATTGGTCTGTAAAGCATAAATTCCAGCTGTTTAACCACTTACTAATCCCATGCATATTGGTAATATGAAATGCTGTGATTCTCTTGTAGCTTTCTTTAAGAGAGCATCATTTTAGGGACTTCCTGTTGGTCTAATGATAATCAAATTGAGCTGTTAAGTTACTTATTTGGTGAATATTTTACCTTTATATTTTTTAAATGTGACAATCGAAAGTTTGAGCGGGTTGTAGAGTTTAAAAGAGAACGAGGATAGACTTGATTGACAGTTGAGACTCTGAGTTAGAGCTGCTTGAAGGTGAAAGTGGAGTGATTTTTGTTTTGCAGTCTGAGCTCATGATGGAGAATGCAGTGTTTTATAGTGCCACTGATCTGATCACTGATAGACCAGTGTGACAGCCTGATGTGTTTGGATTTCTCTCTCACACACACACACAGGCCGTGGAAGATGGACGCATGCTTAATAGCAAGTGACTTGTTCTTAAATAATATATCCACATCTGCTGCCGTTTGTTTGCAGATCATCCTGCTGAATAATGCATCATCACCCACTATAGAACATACACTAGACTAAGCATGAGAGTCTGTCTCATAACCTTTATCTGAGACATTGACTTATCATGTGTACCACATAGGACCACGTGGTCATTTATGTGGTCTGCAGGGGTTCGAAACATTGAAATTGCACCTTTTTTTTCTCATGGCTTCAGACTCAAGAGATGAGGATTTAATAACAGAGAATCAGGTGATACAAATATTTTCCCTCAATTGCCCCCCCCCCCCCCTTTGAACGTGAGAAATGGAAGCTGTTAATTGGAAGGCATCTTCAGCCGCATGTGTGATGGTGTGTTGCCACCTTTTTATTTGCTATTAAATTTTCTGTAAACCAATACACCCAAAGTCTTTGTCCCTGCACGGGACAAAATCCACTGGGACGGGGTTGGTTCGGTTCGCCGTGTGTATTTGAAGGAGTTCTGGACCGTGTGTGTATGTGTGTTCATAGTCCTGAATGAAGCCCAGACTGCATCTCTCCTCCCTGACTGTCTTACTGACACAAATTCATACATCGCGTTGTTCTATTTTTAGTCGTTTTCCCCTCCGTCTGTAATCACATTATTAAATGATTGAGAGCTTTCATAGAGTTTGACAGGTTTTGATGTCATGTCTCCTATTCCACAGAATGGCTGGAAAAGTAGTTTTTTGAAGACGGGGAATGTCGAACCAGAGGGGAAAAGTAATTCCACTCAGTTTATCCGCACTTATATTTGTAGAAAACAGTTGTACATGTTTCAGTTTAGTACGAATACTGTTCAACCACAACGAGAGTTCACTGTGAGGTATCGTTTGAGATTGGACAGCAAAGTGACAGCAGAGTTTTGAGGCTAATACCAAAAGTCTACGTCGGCACCTGTTTTGTGGCTGAAAAGACATGAGTGCAGTCTCAGAGTTTGTTCAGTCGGATCCCCATTAGTTGTTACCTTGGCAACAACTTGTGGTAATTGGAGCCAATTGAAAGCTGTCTTGTTGAATGATTTAAAAAATATGTATATATGCATGTTTGTGTTCTTATCAGGATTTAGTTGAGAAGAGATTGTTTTTCATCATGTAGACAGAAACACATTGTGCTAATGAATGCTAACTTGCTTCAGGCCTGCTGGACTTGTAAGAAGGCAACTTTTTTTGGCAAAAGCTTATTGTCAAGAGTGTCTGTCTGCCTTAAGTGGAGTTACTTTGCCCCCAAAATGAATGAATTCTGCTAAGACTGGTTTAATAAGCAAAGGGCTAATGGTGGCTATTAGTTTTATAGCTCTTGACTGGTGGCTGCTGCTTGCTAGCTAACAAGATGCAACAGGTAAAGACGAGCTGATGGAAGACCATTTTTTTATACCCTTCTCATGTTGGAAGCTAGCAGTTTCCGCTCGCTTCCAGTCTTTGTGCTAAGCTAGGCTAACAACATCCTCTGTCTATATTGAACGCGCAGATATATGTAATATTACTGCTTTAAGGACACATTTCCATCATATTTGCCCATCTCTATTTGACACGTAGAAACTACTACGTGAGGTTTTAACCCTCCTGTTATGTTCGTTTCTCAGGTACAGCAATGATGTTTGCGGGTCAATGTGACCCGGTGCATGTTTAATCATCCAAAAGTTGTCAGAAACCAAAAAATCCTAATAAATATAGTTTGTACCTCATCACCAACACCATTACTAACAATTCAATGAGTATTTAGTGGAATGGAGTTATTCACCCCTAAATAGATCATAGTTCAATTAGGATAACTCACTCGTTTTCATGAAAAATACATGTTCAAACTATCTTTTAGGTATATTGGAAAAACCTAGATATAAATTGCATTAGTCTACCATAACATGTATTTTTTAAATTTTTTTTTTACATTTTGAAACTTTCTTTTTTTCATGGGGTGATGTAGATAAATAAAGATGAGACACCTCTGATGTTCAAGGTCATATTGACCCGCTCACTCAAAATCAAGCCAAGTGAGTCATAAGGATTTGTATTGAATTATTTATAGTGTTAAAAAACAGACATTTACAAAAATTAACAAGAGATGAACACAATGAACGAGGTGTGTGTGTGTGTGTGTGTGTGTGTGTATGCGGTTGTCTGTATCTGTGTCTACACAGCACACGAGTGACTGTCTTTATAATATTTTCGGCAGACAGTCTTGGCTGACGTGTATTGGGTGAGGATGACCACTGTATTTCACAATTTCACTTGGAGGAACAGGTATATCAGTTTCCTCATCTGATGGTTCATAATTGGTACCATTATAATCTGAATTGACCTCAAGATGGTCTTCATCTTCAGACACATCCTCCTCTATTTCACTGTTGTGATCAAGGATGTGCCCCAGAGCCTCCAGGGCTGTCATCCTTTTGTTTCTGTTGCTCATGTTGTCCTACAGTAAGCTGCTGTGTTCTACGTATCTGCAGAGTGTAATGTTGGTAGGACTCCCAAGCAACCATTTTGTATGTTTCGCCCCTCCACTGCTAAGTGTGGGCGGAGTTTTCCCGTCAAAGTCCAAATAGTATCTGTATTTCTCGCACAGGTGGGGTAGTGAGAAAGTGAATGTGTGAGAATGTGTGTGTGTGTGTGTGTGTGTGTGTGTGTGTGTGTGTGTGTGTGTGTGTGTGTGCATGTGTGTGTGTGAAATGGGGTGAAACATGGTGGGGGGAGTAAGAAATACTTTGTCTTACATTTTCAAAGACAGAAATGGTCTGAACTTGACCCTTCTGACCCCTTATAGCCTCCACTTTCACTGCCGGGTCAAATTGACCCGAGCATCATCTCTGTAATATAAACCTGCAGGGGGGGGTTGCAAATACATGATATGAACCTCTTCTTTTTTAACGTTGATTACACTAATTAAGGCAAGCAGAAGAAGTTTCATACAGAAAAAGTACTTTAAAATATTTTTTCTAGATTTTCAAAGTTTGAAACGGGTCAATTTGACCCGCAACATAACGGGAGGACTCCAGAGAGAGCGATTTATTTTTTTTGCTACAAGCTCAGCTTTTCAGAGTGAAAAATGCTGTTATTGTGGATGGAAAGCCAAAACTGATGGGAAAAGATTTGTTTTGTCAATTCTATCTGCACTAGTGGGGACAATTTCAGAGAGAGGAGAGAGACAAACACACACACACACACACACACTGAGATCAGGCGCACCCACATCTTTTCCACTCTTGTTCCTTCTGTCTCCCTCTATCCCCTCATTCACTCCACACACACACACACACACGCTCGGCTGGCATGCACTAATGGAAAGCTATGGTCTGGCAGGACTCATCCCGCTATTTTCGACAGTAATTGGCCGTTTGCTGTCAGACGGACGGAGAAACAGACACACACAGACACACACTTAGCCAAACACACACACACACACACACACACACACACACACACTTACAAACAAACGACCAGATTTGAGTGTGTCATTTATCTTCCCTGTCTGTCCCTGCATCACTCTCCTGGTCTTTGTTTCCTTGTACTGGCTTCTTTTATCAGCTGCTTTGCATCATGGCTAAACATGTGGAAAACACACACACACACACACACACACTCTCTCTCTGTCTCTGTCTCTCTCTCTCTCTCTCTCTCTCTTTCTCTCTCTATCACTCTTTTTCTCACTCTTTTCTCACCTGTCTACCAGCCTTGTTGCCTCTGACAGTATGAGCCCATGTTCTGCATATAATTGCTGCATCTTTGCAGGTCTGGAATGATGTGATGGGCTTTAGGGATTTGTGTGTGTGTGTTTGGTGTGTGTGTGTGTGTGTGTGTGTGTGTGTGTGTGTGTGTGTGTGTGGAGTGTCCAAGGATAAA